TTGGTGGAACGATAAAGTTCCGGGCGGAAGGGTCAGCGTGTTGCTGGTGATGCGCCAGACAACTCACCACCGCTCCAAACTCCCTCCTGCCCTAGGGGTCGTCTTACCCCGCACCCGTCGGGATACCTCAGGGTGCAGAAAACGGAAAGACCCTCAGGCCGGTTTTGCACGCGCTAAAGGGTTACCCCCATTGGCTCACGCTTCAGCCTACGCCTGAGCGTCGAAAGATGACCCCTTGGCGCAGAGTAAGCCATCTGGGTGTGGGCACTACACAATGCGCCGTCATCGCGGTTACTCACGTAGAACTGCATAGCGAGATAGTATGCGTAAGCTTAGCGCCCGCGCTCGACACTCGTCGCATCCCGCACTAAAAGAGTTATGGGTCAGGCGGCGAGATCACGAGCACGACCAGGCCAGTAAACTTGGGGTCTTGGTAACGTGAAGCGGCACGTGGGCGGAGGACTAGTCCCGGTCAGCCTTTGGGAATCCGCGTACGGGCCTCATTATCCCGGACGCCGGGTAGCCTATGGATAGGATACCGGACCTCCTCCGCGCGCGCGTCGTTTGGGCTTATCCACCCCCTTTCCATCTTTTAGGGTCATCAACTAATGGGGGTTGGAGTGAGCCTCCTTTTTACATTTTCATGGTTAGACGTTATAGTCCGTGGCGGCCGTCAAAGTCAAACCCCTTGATGTTCGACCGCCACGACAGCTTAAAGTTGTCTACTGAACCCCTTTGCACAAGGTGCAAAAGAGGGTGTGGTCTCCAACCGCGCACGCTGGTTGTCCAGCGTCGAGAGATTAACCCCCAAGGCCTGTGTCAGCCGACACTTGAGTGTCGAATGCGATCCTCGAAATTAACGAGGGCCGCACGATTATGGGCACGACATAGTATGCCATGATTGCGACTGCTTGCGTACATTTGCATTGCGAGTCGATGGGAGTTAGCCCTGCGTCCGCGCGGTTTTTATACTAAGTCTCGCGCGCGACCCCTACCCGATTTCCGCATTGGAAAGTTATGGGTTGGCTACCGAGGGACTAGGAGCGTTGTCGCGATTGTCCGTGTTGTGTCGTCTGTGCAATGTGTGCGCGCGCGTATGTTTTGCTTTTGTGTTCGTAGAGTGGTGTGCGCGTGGTGTGTGGGATGCGTCCGAGTTGACCGACGTCGAGCCACGCTTGGGACTTCAGCCCCCCAAGATGTCGGCCCGCGTGCGGGTCCGATAAGTGTATTACCACGCGTACCCCCTATGCTACAGCGAACGAGAAACGCCCTCGGCTGGTCCACCTCTGCGATTGCAACCGAGTAGCTTTCGTACTGTGGACTGGTAGCTCGGCGGGGATACGCCCACCGAAGGAAGGTGACAACTCCCGTAAGGTGGAGGTAAGTTGTGCCACGCGTAGTCCCTATCCTGTCGTAGGGGCTCGCGAGAGGTATGGCTGGCGCACTCGGCCGGAGCGGCCCAGGGAAGCTCCATTTGTGTGTTCGCGACGAGGTTGGTCCAATTCCTGGGTGATGCGGCCGAAAGGGTCCCGCGCTGCCGCGTGCGGTGCCGGACTGATGCGCTCGATAGCGGATTGTGCAGAGGTCAGGTGAGATTGGATCCGCAAACCCTGATGTGGGGGAGCATAGAGACCGATACCTGGAGCAGTCTGATCCAAAATAGGGGGTAACTCATCGCTTCGTTCCATTCGTACACCTGATTTTCCGTCATCCATGGCTTAAACGTCATCGTGTATTTTTTCTTATCCAAGTTGATGACGTTCTGTTCTTTGCGCAACATCCGGGTCGCAATCTCTTCGGAGGAGCATTCAATACCTTAGTTTTGACCCATCCTTCCTCATAAATTCTCCCCAATTTGTTTTTGACCTTCACGGGTACTGACGTGAGGTCATCTCCAAAGTGGATTGAGACCGCATGTTTCCGTATCCATTCTGCCTGGATTTCAAACATTTCTTTGTTGACCACTACCCGTACGTGGTCTGGACTTGTCTCCACTACCTGTTGGGTTAAGCCTTCCGGGAGTATTCTTTTTGCATAACAATCATTCATTATTTCCTTAATTCTTTGCTTATCATCCCCTGAAAGTGTAACGGGAACATAACCTTCCCCATCCTTAGTGGTCATTCTAACTGTAGAGAGAACCACAGCCAGAGCTCAAAACGACAACTAAAATTAACAATTACTATATTTCTTAATACGTAGGCCCTACAACGGACGATAAATAACTGATGCTTGCGTACTCAAGGTTACGTTCCCCTTTCCTTCATCAACAAAGCGAGGTCTTGAAGTACCAAGATTACCACTCCTTTGTCATATGTGTCTTCCGTGACTGGGTCGATGCTCCAGGTTTTCTACTTGCAACGTGTGTCCTGACGTGTACGTTGCGACCTCCTCCCCCAATCAACGAGGGGCTTCACCCAACTGTTGTCCTTGCCTGATCGAGACTCACATACTACTTTGCCCACACCGGGCTCCAGAGACCACCTGAACCCTCATCCTGGCTATGGACGACAAACTCCCACTAACCCTAGCACTAATTTTTCTTCACGTTAGCGCCAGAAGGGAAAATAGCGCTAGGATTAACGCTGAAAATTAGCGCACTGCCGCTCCGCCCATTCTTACCTTGCACGCATGTTTTGCCTGCTAGAAAAGCCCCATGGAATACACTTTACCTTGCTCGTGTGGTACTGGAACCTTGCCCCCGTAGGGGCCCACCTCTATCATCTCTCAGGTGAGATCTGGCATCATCAACGAACTTTTTTTTTTTTTTTTTTTTTTTTTTTTTTTTTTTTTTTTAAAAA